CGTTCGAGAATCTTAAAATCATATCGAAAATAAAAAGAAAAATCGATAAAACGTTGCGAGAAAAAGCTTAAATTTGCAGAATATAGATCTAACTTAATGATTTCAATAATATATTAAACGAAAAATAAAATTGATCGATAAAAATCTAATTTCATCGTAACTCACAATTATTTCTAGCTACAAACGTATCATTAATATCATTCAATTCTGCACGATGATGAATATATTAAAAAAAAAATCTTACCCGCACGAAAATTTTTCCATATCCTAAGGCAGGATTCCAACAACAGCTAGGAAAACGACAGAACGACGTCATCGACTTCCAAAGAAGAGAACATATATATGTATATATATATATATATATAAAGTTAGAAAGAAATAAAGAAATAAAAATCGATTCATTATCGATGATCAAGGCCAAAAACAGAGTGTTCGAGAACAGAAGTCGGGTTTAAAGGCATTCCAAGAGGCAGCTTTCCAGCCAGTAGCCGGCAAGATTGGAAAAGATCGAAGACTATCCGCGTCGTACGCTTTCGACACAACTCTAGCACGATCATCTAACCATAGAGACTCGTCCCAGACGAAGAAGGCGCAGGTGCACGTTGCAGCAGTGAAAGTATCCGAGTGCAGTTGCGATCTGTCAATGCCCTCTTGCATAGTCAGTCGAGGACTAGCGAGGTGCTGTTTAGATTTCGAGCTCGTTGAACGAGAGTCTCGGGTGTCTGTCCATTGGTTCCACACCTGACCAACCCGACTTGTCAAGTCCTCGAAAGCTTTCCAACATCGTTCCAACTGTTTCTTCATCTTCGAGCCCTTAATCGGAGGAAAGACTATTCTGGATTCGAGATGATCGCTGCCACTTTGTGCCTTCTCGTGATTATATCCGGTGCAACTACCCTCTCCATCGACTCTAATCGTGAGTAATTAAAGATATATATTTTTTTTTTTTTTTTTTTTTTTTGCAGTTCTCGAATGCATTTGCTCTCTGCGAATGATTTTCGTTGGAGGTTGGAGCCGAGCATCGGAGTCGTTAGAAAACCTGGAAGTGAACGTTTGATAAGAAGATATACGGTGTGTTGATGAAGGTGGAAAAAGATTATTTCTTTTTTTTTTTTTTTTTTGCAGTTCTCGAATGCATTTGCTCTCTGCGAATGATTTTCGTTGGAGGTTGGAGCCGAGCATCGGAGTCGTTAGAAAACCTGGAAGTGAACGTTTGATAAGAAGATATACGGTGTGTTGATGAAGGTGGAAAAAGATTATTTCTTTTTTTTTTTTTTTTTTTTTTTGGATCAGAGAGATACAAGTCAATTTCGTTCAATTAAGAATGGAAGAAGTGGAAGAATACGTTGAATGTTGATTTTATTCGGTTGAATTCGTGACTGTTGATAAGAATGATGAAGGCGCTTTCATTTTCAGTCGAGTTAAATATGGAATATGTGGATTTTTATATGACGAGGGAAGGAGGGAAATAAGAGTTACATAAATGTGTTATGCGAGGCAAAAGGGTCAGTCGTGCAAGTATCCCTCAAGAAATTTCATTAGAATTTCACAATGTGCGGTTTCAGAAGTGACAAGTTGTCTGGCAACTACCTTTTCGCGTAACCAACGTTTCCGCTTGTTTCCTTGATTAACGATCATTAACTTTTTGTTTAATGATGGTCTTACGTTTCACAAGTTTTTTTTTTTTTTATTCGATGTTCGATCTTTATCTCACGTCGAATTTACTCGAAAAATTCAAAGAGAAATTGAAACGAATTATTTGTAATATCAATAACTTAATCGCGTTACGTAATAAATTAAAATCCTTCTTTTTTTTTATCCTTTCGAAAATTGTTTAACGTTGTTGAACAATTTTTCTCTCTTTTATTTTGTAATATTTCTAAGTTGAAAAAAATATATATAATAAAATTGTAAGATATAATTAATAATCTATTTAATCGAAAAAAAGATTAGAAAGTTATACTGCAACTTTCCGTCGATTAATTACAAGAAAAATGTTCATTGATACATAAATAATAATTAAATTTATTTTCCAATTAACTTATTGCCAATTAATGCTTCAATAATTGCAGCCGAATACATAAAACAGTGTTCGAGAAGCGACCCACAATTGAAAACATGCCTCATTGACGCACTGCACCATCTGAGACCTTACTTAAGCGTTGGGATACCGGAAATCGAGCTGCCTTCCGTCGAGCCATTTCGCGTAAGCTCTCACCACTTTCGATATCCTATCGATATATTGAAAATTAATGCTTCCTCGTTAATAGAATTATTACACGTGAATTCTTACTCTTGTTTTCAATAATTTTATCAGTTTATCGTTAAATTTCAATATATTGTTAAAATTATCAATTTTTACATATAGAATTTTTAAGTTACAAACATACAACTTTAGAAAAATATAAATTTCTTCGTTCTCTTAATTTTTTGATTCGCTTGAACAAATTTTATGATATAAATAATAATCAATAAATTCCTTTTCCAAATTTAAAACGTTTTAAATCTCTGATTGGAGATAATTTAAAATCAATAAATTGACCAGAATCTTCCAAATATAATTCAATCTGTAATTCGAGATGACACAAAATCAATAAAATTGGTCGAGCAAAAAGCAAATTGTGATTACGATTTACCCGTTTGTAAACTAGTGTGTCTGTCAAAATTTGCGTTTATCCTAACAGATGGACGAGCTGACTCTCTCCCTGACAGGTGGCACAAACGGTTACAAAGTTCAACTGCGCGAATTATTCGTAAGGGGAGCGAGCAACTATACGGTGGAGAACATTAAACTCGGCTCACCCTTCGAAGCCATTGTACGAATGCCAGCCCTCATCTTGGACGCCCATTATTCCAGGTACACGATCTGCAAATTCTTCTCTTCTCCATTTAGACTTGCTCTCCCTGACCGTTAACCTTATTAACTTTTTCTTGTGCTTATATAATTACGTTGGATTTACATTATTATTATTATTATTTTTTTTTTTGATAAATTAATTTTTGGAGATTAAATAAATTATTTTTCAATAATTGATGACAATACACATGTTAATATTAAATGTGATGATTTTTTAGAAGTTCGATTCGAATCACAGGAATATTTATATTATTTCATGTTTAATAGTTCAGGAGTGTTAATTATTCTACCAGCAAGTGGCAATGGAACGTTTCACGCGCGATTCGACGATGTGACAGCAGTGGTTAAAGGCACTGTTTCAACGAGAGTGAAGGATGGAAAAACGTATCTGAACGTGGATAATCTTGACGTTGTCCTCGATGTGAAGAAGGTTAGGATGGGTGTCCACAAGATATTCAATAACAATCGAATCTTGAGTGAGTAACAAATAGAAATGATCCTGGAAATTAATTTTAAAAAATATTATTATTTGAATCATACGATTTGGAATAAATTTTTGTCATTTTATAGCCGAGGCAACGAACCTGTTCCTCCGCGAGAATGGGCAAGAGGTATTAAAGGTGATGGAACCTCAGCTGAAGAGGAAGTTGTCCGTACTTTTTGCCGGAATTGTTAATCAATTGTTACGCCACGTGCCAGTGGAAGTTTTTCTGCTGCCCTGAATCGCGTGTTTCTTCTTCTTCTTCTTCTCTTTTTTTTTTTTTTTTTTTT